AACCAAAAAGCTACTAAAAAGTTGTCAATTACAAAAAACAAGTTCTATTTTTGATTAGTGTACTCTGAAATTTTCAGACAAATTGAAAAATTTTGGACCACTTTTTCAGGGCTCTAACATTGACTATTTTTCACAAAAAATCGATATTTCCTTACCTCATTCGGTTTCATAATTTCCAGTGGTTTTGTATATTTTTGATAGCCTTCTAAACCAGAAATCCATGATAATAGGGCTAACATGAGAGGTGATATGGCCCTCATTTTTGTTGAATTTTGAGCTGAAAATCGAGAAAATTGAAGCAAAATTGTAGAAAAATGTAAGAAAAGTATCAAAACTTGAGAAAAAATAATCGATGAACCAATTTTTTTTTGCTAAGATTTCTGAATCACCAATCGAATTTTAAGAAAAAAAGTCAATTTTGAAAAAAATGAAACAGTGAAAATTTGAAATTTTCAGATTCTAGAAGTTTCGAATTTTTGAAAACTCAAAATTTCTTAAATTCTTAAATTCTAATATTCTAATATTCTAAACTTCAGAATTTTTAAACGACGCCTACTTCTAGAAAATGGGCGTGGCTAGAAAATCAGTGTCCTAACATCTAACTGAGCCAGAAAAGTGGGCGTGGCTTGGAAATCTGGAAATGTGTCAAAAATCCAACTGCCAACCAAAAGTTCTTTATCATTTTTAAAGCAAAACCTGCTTTTTGGAAATTTCCAGACTTTTTTCCAAAAAAAAGCTACGAAAAGCACGTTTTTTCGCTCGGAATTGATAAAACTGTGGTGTCTAAAATCATGCTATTCTCCTCTTATCAGTACTTATCAGTTGTGTGAAAAATCACGCCGGCCGAATCAGTTTTCCAGTTGTATTCCTAATTCTTTCATCACCACGAAAGGTTGACGTAGTATCCAATGCATCATAGCAAAAAGTGAAAAAAAAGAGCAACATTCGAAATGTGGGCGGGGCTTATTTTGAAATCAGAACATCGAGTTCTGGTCGAAAAAAGTTTGAAATTTTTTTTTTTACTGGATTCATATTCTTAATCATGGTAAGAGAAAAGAAAACGGTTTTAAATCTGTATTTGAACAATTTCAAATTTTATTGAATCAGAAATTCTTTTCGGTTCCTTTTTTCGAAGATACCGTAAAACCTGTATTAGAAGGGCCCATCTAATAAAAGGGCCCTCCGGGAGGGGTTTGGAAAAATTGAAGGGTCCCCTGTAATAGAAGGGCCCTCCGTGAAAAAGGACCCTCCCACTTCAAAATGTGTGTTTGAAATCAGAAAATTTCAGTACTTTTTCAGTGGAAAATATTCCGGGAACTCCACAATTTGATAGAAATTAGTTGAATTTCTTTTTTTCAATGAAAATCGTGCGAAATTTTGGATGAAATCGCCAGATTTTTTTGGGAAAAATAGAAGGGCTCCTCTAATTTAAGGACCACTGTAATAGAAGGGCCCTCCGGAGGGATCTCGGACGATAGAAGGTCCAGCTCTTCTAATACAGGTTTTGCGGTATCGTTGACCTGAAACATTTATATAAAAATGACTGAAAAAAATCGCGCAATCCGAAAAAATCAACGAAAAAACTTGAAAATTTCAGAAAAATCTAAAGTTCTCAAATTTCCAAAAAAAAAAGTTCGAAAAGTCAAAAATATTTGAAAAATTTGAACTCCAGGAAAAACAGAAGCTCAGAAAATCTAAAATTCTGAAAATGAAGTCTAAAGTTCCAGAAAAACCTGAATCTCAGAAGTTCCGAGTTTCAGAAAAATTTTCAATATTCGAAAGTTTAGATTCCAGAAAAATCATATCTGAAATACAGATTTCCAACCTCGAAAAACGACTTAAAATATCCTAAAAATAGCCTGAAATCAAAAAAAAAGTCAAAATCAAAAACCAAAACCTCTTTCTCTCAAAAATAAAACTTCCATTTTTGGAGCACACTTTGCTCCAAAAAACCCCTTCTTATCATATCATTTTTTTACTCCCCCCCCTCTAAATCGTTCTCTAATACATAAGAAGACTGAAACACCCCTTTCTCTGCGTCTCTCACTCTCTCTCCCCCTCCCGCCTTGTCTGCGTCTCACTTCAGGTGGCCCAACTTTAAAGGCGCATTTCTCCAAAACTACTGTAGCTAGCAAAAAGTTGCTAACTTATAAAATGTGTAAAACTTTATGATTCACATTTCTGCAGTTTATAGTCTTTATGTAGCTACTGTAGTTTTTGAGATACGGTGCTTTGAATAAGACTCTCTCCGTCTTGTCATCTTTTGTTGAGTGGCGTCACTTTAAAGGCGCATACCTCAAAAACTACTGTAGCTAGCGAAAAGTCTTTGATTAACGAAATGTGTGAAATGTTATGTTTTACATTTTTGTAGTTTACAGTTTTTATGTAGCTACTGTAGTTTTTGGGATACAGCACTTTAAAGATTTCTCGTTTCATCTGCGTCTCTCACTCTCTGTTATCAGTAGAGGCTTATCACTTTTAATACCATACATACACCGCAACGGCGAAAATGCATCAAAACTGTCACTTTACGTGTGAAACTTAACATGATTGTCTTTAAATTGTGCTTGTCTTGAAATTGTGAAAACGAGAAATCTGAAAATTTCAGAACTGATAAGAGGTGTTTAAGAGGATGATTAAGACATGAAATCACATAAAGGAACTAGAAAATGGAAATAGTTGGGAGATTACGGAAGGGGAATATTTAAAAATTCTAAAATTCTAAAAATGAACTATTTCAAAAAAAAATGGAGGTCACAGTAGCATTGGGTTCCTGTAACCCAGGTTACTGTACCACGTTAAAATAAGTTATCGATGATTGTAGATTGGATTACTGTACCATCAAACAATGAAACCTGTAATAGAAGGGCATCAAAAAATGAAACAAAAATAAAACTCTTAAATTTTCATATTCCGATATTTTCTTTAACAAATTTATATGTTTTATAATTGCGAAAGATTTTCAGTTAGGACTTTCTCAAATTCTTAATTTCTGAAATTCCAAATTTTCTAAAAACTACGCTCTTTTTTTACTTTTAATGTCCACTTTGAGCTCAATTATCTCGGTTACTGTAGACGATATTAAAAATCTGTCAACTAATAAAATGTTTATCATAATATCAGCAACATTT